CGATGATCAGTGTACCAGTGCTATTCCCGTGACGGTGATGGCGATGATGACGAAGATCGATGATAATAATCGAGGTGAGGAGGATGACGATGCTGACGAGGGCACCACAGTTGCTTCCTGTCATCACAACTGAAGAGACTGAATGCCAACTATCCGATAATACTAGATACGGCTGCCGCTGCTGCTGCTACTAGTACTTCTGGTACTACTGTACTCGTGAACTAGTACTACTGGTACTGCTCCTCCTCCTTCTGATGCTGCTAGCACCAAGGACCAAGGGCCCACCCGCTAGCACGGCGACCATGACGAAGACGACGACGCCACTGCGGCGAAGTCATGTCTGCCATCTTCAAAGCTTAGGGTTGAGGCCCTAACTCCCGGAACCCGAAAACCCTAAACTCTAAACACCTACACCCTAAACCGCAACCCCTAGCCCCTAAACCCAATGCCATTGGACGGGTTCCTCGGAGTCGGTCGATGCAAGCTTCACAGAGTCCGGAATGCAAATCAGTGTAGACAGCGCTTGCTTTCACGATTTCGCACGGCCGGAAGATACTGAAAACACATGGGTGGTTGTCAAAATTAGGGTCCCCTTTCGGGTCCTTATTATAGTACGGCACCAAATATTTAAGGTACCCAAAAAGGGACCCTAATTTTGACAACCACCCACATCGGAAGATACAGGTCGTGTACGAAAGGCACAGGACCGAAAGCGCTGCCAGAGGCTTTTGGTCTAAGGACGCCAGGGTTGAGGACCCTAAACCCTAAACCCCTAACCCCTAAACGTTCGGAGCAACCAGTGCAACTTGGGTTCCATGCTGGACCCTGATGTAGGATTGTTTTCGATTATCAGACTGGGGATTTAGTCGGGCTCCGTTAAAGGGTTACTTTAGGGGACCTAGAAGGGTACTATAGTAATGTAGGAACCTGATTAAGAAACCTTGGGCCTTTGTTAGGGTTCCGTATATGAATCCCATTATGGGCCCAGGGTTTCTTAATCAGGTTCCTACAATAAACCCTAAGCAACCATCCCTACTGCCGTCCTCTGCCTGTTAGCTGTTAGCAAATACGCCACACAGACACAGGGTGTAGTTAATCAGCGCAGGTGGAGACGCAAAGGACGATGCACAGTCTTCCCTATCCCCTACCACCAACAAACCCCAAACAAGCTAAACCCTGAACCCTATAAAAACCCTAAACCCTGAACCCTACCAACATCCCCCAAGTACCCTCTGCTGCACCCTAAATACCCACGAGTACGGATCATAAGGGCTCCATTAAAGGGCATTTGGGGAATTCCAAACCGAAACCCAACGCCGGGTCGGCGGCCTCTGGTCAATCAGTCAGGTACCGGCTTGGGCCCAACTCTGCGAAGTGCCGTGGATTCCCGTTCGATTTGGGGTTTAGGGGTTTAGGGTTTGTTAGGGCTATTGGGACTTTGAGGGGTGGGTAGGTGGGGGGGGTTGGGTGTTTAGGGGAAACTCAACGCGTCGCTTTGCGGGTTATCATGAGGGCTGCGGTGGGGGTTGCTATCGGGGATACTAGAAAGATCACGAGCTCTACAAAAATTCGGACTCTGTTGCTCTTCGGGTGTGAACGCCCAGAAGCTCTGAACTTGCAGGGTGTACAAGGTAACTGCCATGGCCTGGACCCCTCCCAAATATCTTAAACAACATTCCCTGACTTATGGGCGCCTGACCCCCTGTTTCACTATTGACGCCATAGCAGCTAGCAAAATGGTTGCAGCAGTGACAACGGCTCTTGACATGCTGTGGCATCATCTTGGCCCAAGTGCTACAGCCGGAAGTGGAACAAAAGTTGATACTGCGCGTGCGTGCTGCAACTACTCCTGGACGGGATCACAAATCAGCAAGCATCAGCCCAAAAGCCATGCGGTTGATATCCATCGCTAGACCCCTGAAACCTCAACCCCTAAACTCTATAAACCCTAACCCCCTAAACCCGATAAACCTTAAACCCAAAACCGTAAACCCTAAACCCCTAAACCCTATAAACCTTAAACCCAACCCCTAGACCCGAAACCCCCTAAACCCTAAACCTTAAACCCTAAACCCCTAAACCCTAGACCCCTAAACCCTATAAACCTTAAACCCAACCCCTAAACCCTAAACCCCCTAAACCCTAAACCCTAAACCCTCGAGCTTCGCCGGCGCTTTTTCTCTGCTGCATTTGCCTCCACAGGGGCTTCGTTGCCACCTGTGACCTCGCGGAGAGTGCCGAGGCAAAAGCCGATGAGCCTCCAACAGAAGATTGAAGTTACCTACTTCCTTTAAAAGGGATCTTTAAGGGTTCCTATAATGGCATCTATAAGGGTTTAGGGTCTATATACTTAGAGCAACAAAGGATTGAAGATAATGTAGGGGCCTTAATAATTACCTACACTATTTTGGGGGCTCCTTATTATAGGTATAGTATAATGGGCCCCAAAATCCTATTGAAGTTGTAGACCTAAGAGTAACCTAGGAATAGAAAGGGTGCCCTTTTTGGCTTAAAGGGGCTTAGAAGGGAACCAGAACCCTACAAAAAGGGAATATGGGCCTACTCTAGGTCCAAGAGGTTTGGCGACATCATTAACAAATCTTTATTACGTTGTTTTGAGGTTTATGTTGCTATGATAGTACTAACCGACACTATAATCCTAAGCCCTCACTAAACCCTAAGCCCTAAACCCTAGAAAATAATCTCACTCCTTACTGAGGCTTCTACCTTAGGGCTTTGGGGCTGTGGATCTCAGGGCTGCGGGCTAAAGATCTCAAGGCTCATGGTCTTGATAGGGTTTGGGGCTTTAGGCGTTGGTTTCATGCATGAAGGTTCCCGGTGTTGTGGTCGTACTTGAAATTTCTGGCAACAGCCCTACTGAGTGCGGTCAGTGTCGAACAGCCGTGAACCTCAGCAACTATGCCAGGAATTTACAGAGGTTTCATACAACAGACCAGGAAACTGCAACACCTGACTGCGACCCAAACCCCAAAACCCTGGAAACGGTGCGCACTTGGGAAATGCAAATTACCAGGGCAAGGATGGACCTTACTGACACGGCTATTTTGGAGTTTATGCCCGGGGTCACCATGTGCTGAAACTCCTCGTTCTTCGCATTTTGTTTCACGCTTTCTGGTCCATTTTGAGATATAATTATAAGATCAACATTAAACATGTCGCCACATCTTCTCTTCAACTCGTGGTGCACTGAGCATACAGCTTCGCTTCGTGGAAGGCGCCATGCTTGCAAGAGCTTCGGTCTCTCTGACGGCTGTGACGCCTGTAATGGGCCGCAGGGGTGCTGCTCTTTTCGTTCCGAAGCAGCGGCAGCAGCAGGAGCAGCCAGTGGGAGTCTTGTATTTAAAGAATATTTAACTATGGAGTACTGTAGAAATCGACCCTAAACCCACACCATAAACCCCATAAGCTCTCGACCCTAAACCCCCAACCCTAAAACCCTGAACCCCCAAAAACCTGGAACCGAAAACACTAAATCCCTTTCTAGCTACTATAAAAATCACCCTAAAACCCTAAACCCTAAACCCTAAACCCTAAACCCTAAACCCTAAACCCAAAACCCTAAACCCTAAACCCTAAACCCAAAACCCTAAACCCATAACCCTAAACCCAAAACCCTAAACCCTAAACCCTAAACCCTAAACCCAAAACCCTAAACCCTAAACCCTAAACCCTATAAAAATCGGTAGACCTGGCCTCAGGGCCTCGGCTTCGTCACGCGGTGCCTCGGCTAGCCTCAGGGTTCTCACAAGGCGCTCTTCATGTGGGGGGTTTCCGAGAATAGGGGACCCCTAATTGGGTTTAGGGTTTAGGGTTTAGGGTTTAGGGTTTAGGGTTTAGGGTTAACCCTAAATAGTAGGATCAACTAAGGTGCCCCTAATTTTCGGAGAATCCCATGCGGGCTCCGGAGGGCTTTATGAGGGTTTAGGGTTTATAGGGCCTTAGAGGTTAGGGCTTAGGGGTTTAGGAGCCAGGGATGCTACGGAGGGTTCCGGCTCCGGAAAGCTTTATGAGGGTTTAGGGGCTTAGGGTTGAGGGTTTGGGGCTTTGGGGCTTTGGGCTTAGGGATCTTACGGTATCTATCGGGCTTTACCGGGGGATGCTTTACCCACACATTGTCTACAACGGCAGCAAATGCTCTATGAGGCAGCTTCGGACTGCGCGTTGTGCCTGAGCAGCCCTAGATGCACTCATGCAACACCCTACTCATTCACATATTTCACGGCTAATGTAAACCCTACTGCAAATGCTATCCCCAAACCCTAAACCCTAAGCCCTCACACCTGTAACCCTATAATCGCACGCCCCTAAATCCTACATGTTCTACGAAATCTTGATCTCACGGATCTGGTAGCATCGCTCCGCCGTCGGCCGCGCTTGCAGCCTGAATTCAGCCAAAGAGGCAAGGCTATAGTCGTTAGGGTTTAAGTTTAGGATCTTAAAGGCTTCGGAATTTAGAGTTTTTGAAGTTTTGGAAGCTGAATGAAGGTTTAGGGCTTACACCAAGACCTCCACCTCCAACACAAAAGCGTCCTGGCCATCGTACGTAGGTCCATGCATGCAGACATGCTAGAATGCACACGCACACACACACAAACATGAATGCATGCATAAATACGTACACACATGCATGCATACATACATACATACAGAATTTCTGTAACGACACGACAGCGCCAGTGCCAGGCAACAGGGAGTTGGTATGCAGGCAGTTTGAAGACGACTGGTATCGTATACTCAAATACTCCCGATAGCCCGAGGCTCCATAAAATCACAGAAGCACGGCCACTCAAACCTCTAGTAGAGGAGCCCTGATGGTTTATGAAGAGGCTCTGGGGTCCATCCTCGGAAGTTATGTGTGTATATATATATATATATATATGTACAAATTATCATATATATATATATATATATGGACTATGGGGGGATACTATTAATTACTGCCATTCCGATCAATGTATTGCCATCGAGGCTGAACAGGGTCACTCTTTCGTGCCTCGACGCCCTGTTGCACGGACAGCTCCCGCGCTGCGCAGAGTGCCACCCAGCGCTGGCTGGCAGCGCTCACCTGCTCAGGACTAGAGTTGGTGTGGACCCATGCAACGTGAACACTGAACACACACACACACACAATCACACACACACACACACACACACACTCTCTCTCTCTCGCTCTCTCTTCCTCCCTCCCTCCCTGCCATGCCAAGAAAGCCCTAAACTCGCCACCCCGACCATGCACGGATTCCAACAGGCTCTTTGTTCTTTGGCAACTTTTTCAGGCAAACCCTCAATTGGAGGCCCTTGTCCGGCTGCCTCAGCGGCCGCCCACTCGTTGGCTCGCTCCAAGCGCTCTATCTCCGCCGACCTGAGTATACGTGGGTTTTAAGGCTTTTAAGGCTTTATGGCTTCCGGTTGTTGGGGTTCTTAGTCTTTAGGCTTCAGGGTTCAGGGTGTAGGGTCTACAGGTATGATTGTAAGGTTTCGATGTGATCACAGACAGTCCATCTGCCCTCCGTTCGGCTCTGCAGGCCATGTTGCCCCAGTTTAAGGGCACAGCGAGGGTTTTGTGCTTCATGTTTTTCCTAGGTGCAATGAGCTTTTGCTTCGTGTTCTCTAACTTAAAGGCTTGGCAGCATGGCACTGCACGGGTGTATAGTTATTAGTTTATAAGTGTGGACGGCTCCATTGCCAGTCAAGAAAAACGGTGACGACCCGACGCAGTGTCAACATAACACAAGGGGGCACGCTGTTCGGGATCTTGCCGCAGTCAAGGCTGCTGGGGCCTTGCGGGGGTGTCCATGAAATGCTCAGGATCTAATTCCCGCACCCAAATCGAAAGCCCCCTAAACCCTAAACCCTAAACCCTAAAACCCTAAACCCTAAAACCCTAAACCCTAAAGCCCAAAGCCCACAGCCCCACGAAACATGCCGTGAGGCTTGGCGTCAATCCTCGTGGTCAGATCCTGTCGACAGAGGGTTCGATCGAGGCTCCCCTCCCAGAAATTACTATAGGCGCCTGAAATAGGTACCACTACTATTATAGATGGCCCCAAAACCCTATTCTACAGTAATTATTAAGGCCCCTATGTTATTACTATAGGCTCCTTAAATAGGTACCAATACTACTATTTTGGGGGGGTGCCTTAGTATAAGTAGATTAAAGTGGGCACCAGAACCCTATTCTGATTATTAAGGCCCCTATGGTATGCCTGGCGACCTCAGGAAACCCAAGTTTAAGGGTTCTCTATTGAGGTTATGCCGTGTCTTTCTGATTGGAACTTATCCCCAACCAAGTGCCGCGAGAAGATGACCCCAACCAAAGGTCTCCGCCAGAGTCCGAAGCTCTTCCGCGACTTCCCTCGAAGAATAGAGACAGGATGCTGTGCGAAGCATCATCTGCTAAACCCGAAACCCTGAATCCTAAACCCCTGAGAGATGAACCCCAATCCCTAAACCCTCGGAATCCTAAATTCTGAAACATGTCCCCCAAACTCTAAACCCTAAACCCTACGAACCCTAAATTCTGAAACATGAACCCCAAACCCTAAACCGTGCCTGAACCACCTGCTGCAGCTGGCCGATCTCGTTCCTCACCGCCGCCCTGAAGAGTTTTCTTCAAGGCTTCGGGGCCGTCTTCCTGCTGGCGCTTAGAGTTTAGGGTTTAGGGTTTAGGGGTTTATTTTTTTTTTTTTATGGGCTCTTTTCCACCTGCAGATACAGTTAGAACTCCTGTACTAGGAGGAGCCAGTGGTTAGGGCCTCATTGTGCAGACAGAGTTGACATCATTAATAACCCCGAATAACCCCTGAGGCCCCAACCAGCTTGCCACTTTCCCTTTTGCGATTGCTTTTGCGACTCCGGCTTTCCATGTGGCACCACAGGACCTATTCTAGTTCTGCATTACGGATACACACAGATATCACTACTATCAGTCGCTCGAGTCGCTCACATCTCTGTCTTCACTGGGATGACCGTATCGCTCAGCCCACACACGGCCGTTATGGCATGAATCAGTGTTGGACAAAGTATCATCTTCAGCCGTGGCATTAGTTTGTCCTACCTCTTCTACCTGACTCCCACTCTGTACAGGCTGGCTCAGTTCCTCGCTCACAGTCGTAGGGCAGACAGCTGGAGGTTCCGGCCCAGGGAGTAGTTGTGTAGTCCCTTCGCTATCTCCATCGTTGCTGGCTCCTCGGCCGATTGGTGAGGGTGTTCTCGGGGTTTTCCATGGCCATGGTGTCTTGCTCGTCCAGCGCCTTCCACACTTCATCCGGAATGTCCCTCATGGCCATGAAGTATGATAACATTCCTGTGCTGGATGCCGTCACCACTGATTGATCTGACACTTCTCCTCGGCACCATCTCTTGTAGAGTTCCTGGGTCGCTGGTCGTCGTAGGTCGTAGGGCTTCGGGTCCACTGGTTGTGCTTTTTGTCTGCTGCTGGCGGCCTTGAGCGAGTCCGGAAGGTTCGCCTCTGGGATGATCTTCCCATTGTGCCGCCAAACTCCTGGGTCTTCTGTCTTCGTCGCCTTGATGTGTATTTGCACTTCGGCCCCACGGTCCAGCTCCCAGTCCCATGCCCTGGTAGTTGTTCCATCTAAAATCGCAGACGCCATTGCCGAGTGCGGCAAGTGCAATTCTGCAGTGCTCGGCGCTGGATCTGTCGTACTGGACCCGGTCCTTGACGCCCAACTCGAACCCCCGACTCGCGAGGCGTTTCCGCGTTGACGCGTTGGCGCAGCGGAACCACCCGACAAACCTTTCAGAGGTGGCGAGCTTGCCTGTGCCGAAGACGCCGTCGGTCAACTGGATGAGGCCGACAGAAGGGCCCTGATCACAGGAGGCGAGGAACTGTTGAACGCCGCAGTGTTCAGGGGAGACTCCATATGGAGCTCGAAACCGCACGACACCTGTATCGTGGGCCTTGCCCCGTATCTTGCCATTGACCCCCACAGTGCCACGGCGTTGGCCGGTGTTGACCCTCACGGCGACACGCGCGCACAGCACAGTGCAGAAAGAGCCGGCAAACAAGACGTCGTAGGTGCTTGGTCTGCAGGTGCTAGCCCCGCGCCCAAACCGCCCGATCGGGACGATCCACAAGTCGAGATCGCTGTCTTCGGGAGGCATCCCGACGCCCACAAGCAGCCCCTGGAGGCTGTGGACGCCGTCGCTGAACCCGACATCGACGGTGTCACCTTTGTGGTAGATGCTGACGCCGGACTTGCAGCACTCGATCAGGTAGTCGTAGCCCACGCTGATGATGACGGATTTGGCAAGGGCTCTGAGCTCCTTGTTCCCCACTACAGCTCGGGGCCAAGGAGCTCCCATGCCGGTTATGACCCTGCCCTCAGCAGACAATGCATCGTAGGCACCGATTCGAAGCGCCCCAAAAGTGGAGACTCCGCGTTTCGTCGAGGATTTCCCCTCGCTGCTCGACCGACCGACGTCACTACACACGACGGCCTCGTCCTCAGAAATGACGGCACACATGAGGTAGGGCGCCACGAGGCCGCAGCCTTCCCCGAGGTGCCGAGCAGACTTGCCGTGAGGCCCAGGCCCGATGCATCCCTGCGGAATCGCGACGCACAAGGCGCCGCAGCTGCTGTCCTTGGGATGCAGCAGATCGAACCGTCCTGAGTACCCCCTGGTAAAAGGGACGTCCAGCTTGGTGCATTGCCCGTCCTTCAGCGTGGACTTGACTGCTGTGAAGTACAGCCGATTGAGGGTCCTGACGCTGGTGTCTAGGACTTCATCGGTGAGGAACCAGGTCTCCGAGCAACTCGAGGGCATCCAGATAGCCCTGCATGATGTCGGCGCAGCGCACTGTGTGCCACGCGCTGTAGCTATAGACGACGAGGCCAGCCGACCGCACGACGATGACGTCGCCTTCGGTGACTTGTCTCTTGTTCGGTCCGGTTAGCGAGACGCCGATCCCAATTGATCTGCATAGGCCCAAGAACCCGCTCGAGCACAAAATGGCGCGCTTGAGCAGCCCGATCCGGCCTCGACAGCCGGCGACAAAGGCAGCGCAGAACCACCCGCTGTGGCCCACGCGGTTGTAGTGGCCGACCCAGCGGCGTCGATCGCCCTGCAAGCTGGAGCAGCTCTCTGTAGTGAGGCCCTTGCCCTTCAAGATGGGCTTGACGTCGCAGTCGACGGCGCGGAAAGACCAGACTCCGTCTTCAATGTCACTGACGACTTCCGCGGTTTAGGGGTTTAGGGGTCTAGGGGTTTATTTAGGGTTTAGGGTTTAGGGGTTTAGGGGTTTAAGGGTTTACGGGGTTTAGGGTTTAGAGTTTAGGGTTTACGGTTTCGGGCTTTCCTTGGACTACCAGGAGTGACTATGATGGGAGTCCAAAAAGGGGGGGTTTAAGATTCTTGGGGTAAGGATTCGTTAATATGAACCCTATATTATGGGAACGCTACACCCTACTAAAACCCCATAGGCTAACACCCCTTTTAGCCTCCTATGAGACTACCACAATGGCTTATGCAGGGAATGTTCTGAGGATCCACTCTCCCACTCTCCTTTATGCCTTAGCCTTAACCTCTCTTCTTCAACAACCGGGCCCAAAAAGTTCGAACTTTCTACCATATAGGGCAAATATATAGGGCCAAAAAGTTTAAAGTTTCCCCGTTCACTATCTCAGTAACTTTAAGCACCAGTCTTCCGCGGCTCAGAGCATGGGGTGTGGGAGCTTCCGAGTACGGCTTTCTGTCCGGCTGCTGGCTCCCACCCCGCGATCCCAAGAGCGGGCACTCCGCTGCCAGATCAAGACTTCGCAACCCAGGACTTCACGGAAATACCGAACACACACACACACACACACACACACACACACACACACACGCAGCCAGCGCACACACACGCAGACGAAGGGACTGGCCAATTCCAGCATGCACACGAAGAAAGAACTCACAAGGCAAAACGTCTTCATGCAGCACTTCAGGGTTCAAGGCCCGAGGAATGTGCGCAGCGCATCTTCAGAAAACCCTTCCCCAAATGATCCCTAAACCCCAAACCCTAAACCCAAACACCTTAAACCCTAAACCCTGAAACCCTTCCCCAAATGATCGCAAGGTATTCCACGTCGGGGCGCTGCACATCGGACTCCACAGACAGCACTTCCTGCTCGGTATGACCAGTGGCAAGTTCCCACAGACTCCGATATCCCTTGATTGGGGAATATACCTCAAATCATACTAGGCATCCTAATGTATTTTCGGTATATTCCTGTAATTTAAGGGATATTGGAGTCTCTGGGTGACCAGTGGGAAGTTAGTCACAGCCAGGCTTCAGGGCAATGGGGGATGTGATGGAAGGAGCTTGGATGCAGCTTTTCGCTTGTGGCGTTCCTAACAATAGTAATTTAGAGAAGTAAACAAATTTCTACCACAAAAGAACATAAACGTCTAGTATAGTATAGAATTAATATACAACAGTACACCAGGATAGTTCCGGGTAGTCATGGCTTTCTGATGCTCGACTCAGCTCGCAAGCTCACATTGTTCCCAAAGGACTGAAACGCCAAACCGGTTGAGGGTTTAGGGTTTAGGCCAAACAGATAACGGACCGCAGCACCAAATGCTGCAGAATGCAACCGCCGTCTTAACAGCCAGCTTGACTACAAGACGATGGCAGCAATGGACGACTTCAACCTCCAGTGTCGATGTCTAAGCTTACATCTTTCGCGTACGTCTCATCTCAAACGTTCCCAGATTCAAACTCAAGGAACCTCCTGCCCCTCACACGAGACACCGAAGTGAATCATCATGCATCTGTACTTATCAACAAAAACGTGGTGGAAGCCGTCGTGACATGGCACGGACACGACCACATCACCACGCAGATTATGATAACCCTTACCGCTCCTTCTAACCAATATAATACACATCATCAGGCAAGCTTGGGTTCATGGGTAGCACGGGCGCTCTTCGTCGGCTGCTCTTCCGGTAGTTGTGAAGACAGAGATCAGAGTCTCGTCTCAAGTCTTTCTTCATACCAACCGGCGTCTTCCGGGCGTCGTGCGGCTGGGTGGTTGTCATGATTCCGCTCCAGATGGCAATTATAGCTACCATCGATGAGATCATAACCCTAAACCCTATATGCGATCTGCACAGAAGAGCTAGTGTAGCCGCTCTGAGTCAGTAGTACATGGTGGTGCGGCCAGAGGTTGCAAGAATAACATTTTAGTAAATATTGTTTACTATAATAGATATTGTAGAACATCTCGGATTACATGATATGACACTACATTGTACACCACAGTACCTATTGCGAATGCAGTAGCACCAGCCGGGAGACCATTCACAGCAACACAACCCGGCCATGGCCCTCGCCCTGCCGCACCACCACAACACCACCTCAATACCACGATGACGACCACGAATGCCTAGGAATTGTCTTGGGGGTTTAGGGTTTTGGACTTTTGGATTTAGGCTTTAGCGTTTTAGGGCTTTACTGGTGATAGGGTTTAGGGAATGCGACTAACGAAGACTACTGCCATCGCGAGTCGCCTCGCGCAGCCGCCGTCATAAACCGCAAAGCCTTACTTGTCGGGTATCATGGGGAACTAAAGGTTAACCTTTTTGGTTATATAGGGATTATATAGGGGCTATACTACCCAAAAAAGGTCAAAGGTTTCCCACTCTACGTAGTGATGCTTGACAGCGACATAACCTCTGAACATCCGGAAACCCTAAAAGCCCTAAAGACCCTACCTAGACACCCCAAAGTAGGTAAAATAGTGGCCCAAAACCTATATATAAACGGCTATTATTCTACATTCTTTTGGGGCTCCAGGTAAGCACGACACCCTAAATCCTAAACCAGAACCAATTTAACAAGCAAACGCAAATGCAAAACCCTACACCCGGCTGCTGCAACAGCTGGCCTGAAAAGTGGCCTTCGCACGGTCCACCTCGGTTCGCCTTAGAAGTCAGGAGCTCCGGTGAGCTGAGTACTTTCCATGCTTCGAACCATTGTTATAGTACTAAACAACATGGGGAAAACATTTCTTCCCCAATAGGTTTATAGTGCTTCGAACCATTATTATAGTAGGTATACTCTGCTACAATACAGGGTATTCTATTGTACTGTATGAAATGGTAGGCATGACACGACTACACGCGTTTGCAGCCCTGCAACCCAGGCGAGCTTTGGAACAGCTACCTACGCCCGCAACGGTTGGTGTTTAATTAAGGCTTAGGGCTACCTGCACCTCGACTACTCCCATTTCCCCCCTACTCCGAAGACAGGGACCATTACCACCAAATCTGCCACTGGCAGCAACATGCGGCCGCCGTCCATGACTATGTCATCGCCATCTCCATCCAGAACTCTAAACCCAGCCCTCATCCTCCAAGCCCTCAGCAATGATGCAGAATGCACATAGAGTACCCTCACAGATCAGCTCGTATAGGAACCCTAAGCCCGAGGAACAGCTCCCGCTCTGCACGACGATGTTCGGCGGCCTGGTTGCTCATTGGACCGGGGGCTGGATATGGGAGTTTCCGAAATTAGGGGTGCCTTTAAAGGGATCCATAAGGGTTCCTTAAAGGGATCTATATAAGGGTTCTATAAAGGGTTTAGGGTTTAGAGCTTCCGAAAATTAGGGGTACCTTATGTGGGGTCCTTATAATAAGGGTCCTACTATTTAGGGTACCAGATTAGGGTCCCCTATTTTTGGAAACTCCCATATGGGTAGTTGACAAAGTTATGGTTCCCTTTTTGGGGGTACCCTAAATCTTAGGTGCCGTAATTTAGTAAAGACCCTGAAAGGGACCCATAACTTTGAGAACCAGCCATAGGTGTTTGGAAATTTCGAATCCCTAAACCCTCAACCCTACACCCTAAACCCCTGAACTCCTAAACCCTCAACCCTGAACCCTACACCCCTAAACCCTAAAACCCCGAAAACCCCAGAGGACCCTACGACCTGAACCCTAAAACCCCTCAAACCGCCGCCCCAGAAGAGGCTTAGGAGCCTGGAGCTTGGATCTTCGGATCTGCTCTCGGAGCGTTTGGAGCTTGTCGCGCCTCGGCGGGGTTTCAGGGGTTCAGGGATTTACGGTTTTAAGTTTTAGGGTTTTAGGTATTAGAGGTTTAGGGGTTTAGGGTTTAGGATTTAGGGTTTATAGGGATTTTGGGGTTTTAGGGGTTTAGGATTTAGGGGTTTGGGGTTTTAGGGCTTAGGGTTTTAGGGTTTAGGATTTAAGGGTTTTAGGGCTTTAGGGTTTACGGTTTCAAGGTTTAGAAGTTTAGGGTTTAGGGCTTAGGTTTTACGACCTGTCCAGTTTAGGATTTAGGGCTTTAGCGGTTTTGGGCTTAGGTTTTAGGACCTCTCCAGGAGAAGTATCTAAAACCTGGGCCATGACACATGTGCTGGGCTGTTCGTTGGATCTGTCATTCGTGGAGGAAGCCATTCAGCCTTGTGTGGATGCTGTGTCATGACGGTGAAGCCGGGGTTTTCTGCTTACCGTATAACCTTTTAAGTACCGTACTGTATTAAGTACGTACTTCGACTACATATGGCTGCGTTCCCTGCCTACAGCGAGGTCTATGTCGACGATGACCTGCCAAGTCGGAAAGTCCCTCAACCCTTTACCGTTTACCCCTAAACTCCTAAACCCTTAATGCCAAACCCTCCGAGCTTGAGGAGATTGTCCCATTACCGCATTTGTTGTTTTTTCTATACCTTCTTTTCCGTTCGGGTTTTCAAGGTTTCGGGCTAGGGTTTAAGTTATTAATGACTCAATACTACATTATCAGTGTTTCCTTGACGAGCGGCTGTGCTGCCACCTTGATGTAGTCCAGGGCCCCTTCTGCTTCGAACTGTCGAGCCTCGTTGCTGCAGTGCTCCCCATCTTCCTCACAGAGCTGCGAACGTTCGAGATGTAGGGTTGAGGGTTTAGGAAGTTTTGGGTTCAGAGTTTAGGGTCTGAGGGCATGTTTTGTTGATTGACTTTCTGTAAAGTTGGTTTGCGCACCGCGCGAACGAGAACTTTTGAAAAGAATCAGCAAACCGCACTGAAGAGACCCTAAAACCTAAACTAAAACCCTGATGCCCTTGAGAAACATCAGCAAACCTAGGTTTATTGCTCAGGGTTGGGGACTGGAGACTTTGACAAAGAGCAACAAACCACCCGATGCTGATTAGAACTCTTGCAAACAAACTGCTCGAAAGTAATCAGAATAGACAGGGCAACGAATCGCCGGAGAAGGACTTTTGCACCTCAGAAAAGGGACACAACGATCGAAATGCCCTCGAGTACTTGAGAAAGAGCATCGACGTAGCTTCAACATTCGAGGAAAACAACAAACTGCCCGAATGAGAAAGAGTGGCACACTGCTCGAAAGGGAATACATAGAGCACTTGAGAAGGAGCAGCAGCAGACAGCTCCAACCAGACTACAACATTGAGAGGATGTATCGAACCGCTCGAAAACGACTGGAACAATTTAAGAACAGTTGGCACGGTACTCGAAAGTCACGATAACGATTGCAACAACAAACGGGACGAAAACCTTCGAGAAAAGGACAACCAACTTGCCCGAAAGGCACTAGTGAAGCATTTGAGCAACAGCAGCAAACCCTTTGAAAGTGACTGGGGCGCTTGACTAAACCGTAAACAAAAAACCCAACCCCTGAAAGCCCTGAAAACCCTAAAAAACCCTCAACGCCCCACAACCCCTCACGCCCTGAAACCCTAAGCCCCTAAAACCCTAAACCCCTAGAGCCCTAAAACCCTGAAGCCCTAAACCCCCTCAAAGCCCTAAAAGCCCGCAGCCCTCAAAACGCCCAAAGCATCTCCGAGCTGTCCTGCACATGCCGCATGGTGGCCCTGAGGGTTTCCATCCTGGGCTCTTTTTTAAGGAGCTCAGCTTGAGCTACCATAGCAGGGATCTATTTTCTCATTATGGTAATTTATAAGTTACCATAGTAGGGACCTATCGTACATTCTACGATTTCCTTGTTATACTAGCTTATAAGTTACCATAGTAGGGACCTGTAGTAAATACTATAGGATTTCCTTATTATGCTTCCCCTTAACCCTTCAAGGCACCCCTACAGATCCCTTACAAGGAACCCTTTTAGATCCCTATTATGGTAACTTGAACTAAGTTGCTGAACAAGAACCAGGGATCTGGGAGCTCAGCTGTTGCTTCTGCTGCAGCAGACCGCAGCGATCTGCATGGTCACCAGAAGGCTCCACATGACCGCCTGGAGGACTTGGGTTTTTAGGGCTTTTTTCTGCTAGAAGAAGGAAAGGGCGGGGGAGGGGGGAGGGGGGGGAAGGACGGAGGACTTGGGTTTTAGGGTTTTTCTGTCAAAATAGTGATGGTCTCGGGTTTTAGGGCTTAGGTGCTGGGTTGAGTCCATGGTTTGGGGTTTAGGGCTACTGGGAGGTCAGGGATCAGGGGCTAGGGTTTGAAGTTTCAGACGGTTGGGGTTTAAGGGTGCAGGACTCAAGGGACGAAGTGTTGATGACAAACGCATGATTACATGGAATGCGATTTAATGCAGGGGCCTTGGTGATGAGAAAGCTCTGGGGCTATAAAATACAAAAATGCCCCTACTCTATGGAGGACTTCAACTTGCACCTCAAACCTACCCAGAGACTCCGATATCCCCTTATTGGGGAATATACCTTAAATCAGATTAGGGATACTACTACAGTTTGAAAATATGTTCCCTGACAAGAGGACATTGGAGTCTCTGGGTAAGCCCCTAAACCCCATATGCCCTAACCCCTAGCCCGAAGCCCTAAACCCCTACCTGGACCCCACAAGTATGCAGAATAATAGCCTTTTATAGCTTTTGGGCCATTAGTTTATCTACTTTGGGGGTCTAGGTAAACCCTGTACCCATACGGAACCCTCAAAAGGAAGGTTTGTCTCTCTTCTTCAACAACCGGGCCTAAAAAAGTTCAAACCTTCTACCATAGGGCTAGTATAAGCCCAAAAAGGTTAAAGTTGCCCCGTTCACTATCGAAGTTGTAGAGTCCAGGTGAACCGTAAGCTGCAAACCGAGAGGCTGATAACTGTCACCAAGCCCGTCTCGAGGGCCGAGAGGCACTCACGCATCCGCTGCATTCCGGTCTTCCTGGGCTGGGTTTAGGCTTTACAGGGAACTCCAGAAAGTTGGAATATGGTTTCTTGGTAGGATACCCTATAATTTACCATAGAAGGGTTTGGATAATCATATTCAACTTTCTGGCTTTTACCTTAGGGTTTTGGGGTTTCGGGGTTGAGAAACCTAAACCGGACACTCCTCCAAGTTCGAGCTTTTTGGAGTCGGTGTGAAGGCACCGGAGATGCAATTCCCAGTCTTGTAACCCCAAAAGCCCCAACGCCAAACACGGATTTTGTAGCAGAAATGATGAAATCCGCTCAAGTTCCTCAACTGGAAAGATAAAAGGGTGTTTCATCTGGGAAAAAAGGGTGTGCATGCAGTTGTGCATGCAGCTCCACATTAGGAGAGCTCTGGCAGAGTTTCTTTTGCGGCCTGAGAACGGGAGTCGCCACAGCTAGACCCGTCAACCCCTGCTCCGCGATGGCTACCATCCACCAACCCGAGAAAGAATCAGCTCCCAAAGTGTAGCTGGATTCGGCCTCAGGCATGTGTGCATGTAGGATTCGAGGATTTCGAGATGAATCGCAGTGTAAAGTTATAGAGGGCTTCCGGATTGAGGGAATTATACGATGCTCTTGATTGTTTTCAACCGGATTTGTCGCGCTTATGGAGTATTTAGGGTTGCTCAAGGACTTACCAGATTTAAATGAGTTACAGAGGGCATTTAGGGGATTCAGGGTAATTAGGGTTTAGGGATTGATGTAGGGGCCTTAATAAATCCAATAGGGTTTTTGCGCCCATTAAACTACAAGTGTTATAATAAGGCGCCAAAAGTATTGGTAATTTGTTTATTTAGGCCCTTACATTAAACCCTCAACCCCTAAATCCTACACCCGAAATGCCCTAATTTAGGATATTTAGGGATTTAGGGTTTCTTTTTTTTTTTGAACCCTCTTTTCCTTCTGCCCATTTGGTTAGTCGGATTTAGGGCTTCTTTTGCCAGGGCTCTGAAGCGGAAGCGAAGTGCCCGACTTCGGGTTCTCAGGGACCATCGCACGGGAGGCTTCCCGACTTTGGGGAGGCCTTTCCGGAGATCGGGTCTTCGGGAATACTCATATATATATATATATATGTATACTAAGAAAAGATAGAATACTAATATCTATAACTCATATATACTAATAAGTAGATATACTAATAAAAGTTAGAGTGCTGATATCGATAATTGTTTATGTATATTGTTGCAGGGCAGTGACTAAAGTAGAGTATAGCAAGTTCAGTCTAATGGAGCAGACCATCGTATACCTACTTTAGTAGGGCATCGGAAGTTGACAGAGCGCATATGTAAAACCTAGTGAGGTAATAGCCGGTATTGCGGTTAAGATAGATGAGCCTTTAGCATGATTACTTATTCCTCTCAACACCATGAAAACGAAGAGGATGACCTAATAATGATGACTCGTCATTGAGTCCAGCTCAACTATGCAAGTGTTGCCAGTGTGAGTGGTCTTACTAGTCTAACCCTTCGCAGTAGTTTGGCTTTCAGTGGGCAGTTTCCGGCATTTGTCATTTAGCTTTTTTGGATCCCTAACTGAGGACTTGGGCTTCGAGGCTGAGGGGTTTAGGGTGGTACAACCTGCTCTTATATACGATAATGTGGTACAACACACCAGAACTTACACCAGACTGTTCCAGAAAATATCATATATACTATGATATGACACAAAATACCATTGCATATACTACGACAGTTGCCTTCTGAGGTCTTGCCGAAGCCTGCGCAGAACTCCATAAGCAGCTACGGACAAACATAGACTGCCATGATAAGAGTGGATTAATTTTGCTTTTTGGCTGTCATGGTGTCATAGCATAGCATAACATGAGAAAACACAAGGGCAGACAGACAGACAGACGGAATGAACATGTCCATACGGCGGCCGGAAGGAACTTCTGACAGCGATGTGCAGTTACAAATCCGGAGTTGTTCATCGGATCCCGGCCTCAGGGTTTCGGACTTCAGGTTCGAGGGCTAGGGCTACGCGTTGCCTTAACCCCGAAGAACCTACACTTTTAAGGACAATACATAAAGAAATCATAATAAGGAACTCTAAAAAGGTAGGTTCTTCAGGGTTAAGGTAGGTCTCGGCTTTGAAGCTTCAGGACATTGGGGACAGGTTTTTTCGAAGATCAGGGGTTTAGCTTTTGTTTTGCATCCTGCAGTGGACCAAACTGACCGCACTCTAAGCTAAGCACAGAAAGCAGGGCAGGACCAGGCAGGATGTAACGCTCAGACGTCTAACGTAGTGGTAAGCACCAAGGGTTCCCTCACTGTTCCAATAATTATATGATAATGTAACATACATATTATAGAATGTAGCTATTTAGGCATGTATTTGTTTATGCATGACCCCCCCCCTCCAAAAAATGCACAGAAGCTCTTCAGGCTTCCACGCTGCTGCTGTGGGGTGTTGGTTTCTTGTCTCTTACAGGGTTGAGGGTTTCGGGGTGTAGGTCTAGGCCTTGTAGCGCTTGGGGTTTAGGACGGTTTAGGATATCTAGAAGCGCTTGCATTACGAAGAGTTCTCTAAGAACCTCAAAGAACTGCTCTTGCTCGAGGTGGCCCCATGTCCCCTCGACTACCTTATAGTCCCTTATACTAGACAATAAACTATATCATAGAAAAGTATGTTACGATACAGTATACTACAGTTTACCAGAATATACTTAGTTGGTCTAAGACAACATGTCTGAGCAGTCACAAAGGTCTGACTAGGCATGAGCCACGTCAACAACATGTCAGACGCATCAATTTTGCTTTGTTCCACTCGCGACTGCGATCTACTTTGGGATTTAGTTTCAGCTGCTCGGTTTTTCAGGGTTTGAGGATGGAAATTGCCTACCCGGCCCTGCTCTCTCATGTGGCTCTTCTTCGAAGGCAGCCACGTGGCGACATGTCGGCTCTGCGAACAAACCTTTCATAAATAACTTAAAACATATCGTGTGCCGGGGCTTTCAGAGGCACGCCGCGTTGCCATGTATCTGTTCATCCATGACGAAGAAGCTGCCAACAGCAACCAACTCGAAACATACATCTTCATGTTGACATGATCGAAACATCAAGATTTCAGGTCGCAAACCCAGAATCACAAATCAAGCACGCCCGGAACATCGTACGCTTGATTTCAGCCTTTGGCGTGCTTTCGGTGCGGACTTCCGGATTTACAATTTTAGGGCTCTGCGATGTGTTGGACTCTTGGACTATGACCAATGAAGAATCATATGGGGGTTACGAAGGAAGTCTACGACCTTTATGGCAAGCTAATGATCCTGAGCCCCTTAATTAACCCCAAAATCCTAAATCCCAAAACTCTGAACGTTGCAACATGTATAAGCATGCATGTGTGTATCTATATATCTATACACACATACACACACACACGCATGATTTCACAAACTATCTGTACATATACATATATGTACAGTATTATACACACATAGTCGTTATCGTCCCTTAAACCTAACACCGGGAATCTAGAAGCCCCTAAATAGCAGCCTCTGTGTCTGACGTCCTTCGTTTCGCGTGCAGGAAAGCCCCGGCGACAAACACCGAAGCCCTTCTCCGGGGGCCGGCAGCATGTCCTAAAATGGCGGAGGGAGGCGCCCAGGAACCCCAGGAAGATGATGCGTCTTTTTCTGAGCGGCCCTTAGAGGATGCGGCTTGGGGTTCAGTGTTTCGTTTAAGCTCATAGGGCTCAGTTTAGCCTAAACCCGAAAGCCATAACCCCAAGCCCTGCGACTGAATGAGTTTCCCTAGTGGTATAAAAGTACATCAGAGTATATCACCGCATCACTACAGCAATATATATATATATATACATATATATATATATATATATAACATGATATAATATAATATAATATAATCTAATATAATATCATATCGTAATATATATATATATAATATAATATAATATAATATAATATAATATAATATAATATAATATAATATAATATAATATAATATAATATAATATAATATAGTATAATATAATGTAATATAATATAATATAATATAATATAATATAATATAATCTAATCTAATATAATATGATATAATATAGTATAATATAAGCATATATATATATATATATATATATATATACATATAGACGGTCCTTGAAAGCTTTGCAGCTTCGGGCTGGGAGGTGAGGTGTAGCTGTGTCATCAAGTTGGGGGCGTCTCTGGGGGACTCGTGGGCTTTCAGCCCTAGACCTTAGGCTGCGAGTCCTCAAAACCTGTAGCGAATCCCAGAAAGTTGGAACGTGGGTTTAAGAGGACTGGTGCCTGGGATCCCTTACCCTAGGGCTCCAAGTATACAAATAGTACCTACTTTGGGGTGAAAAATCTACGAATAGTGCCTACTTTGGGCTATTTGGAGCCCTAGGGTTATACTTTTGCTTGAAGGGCATGAGTCCAACTTTCTGGCTTCTACTGTGCCTCGGGGCCATGCTCGTGATAAGTCCAGAGATGGCGGAAGACGAAGACTGCGCATTCCGGCTGGTGCCCCTCTCCCCTGAGGTAGAGTAGAGTGGTGCATGAGGGACTTTGCCGAGTTGAAAGTCCTGACTCGTAAGAGCTGCAGCATCATACTCCCCGAAACCCTAAACCGTGTACGTTAGCAGTTCGCAGTATCAGCAGGATGTCGACCGAAGTTTGCAGATCTCAAGATCCACGTTCAAAACACAAGTTTCCCAAATAACACTAAGCCCCAAGCCTGGCAACCTCTAGAGGCCCTCCTCGCCGCCTTACCACGCTTACTCTTTCAACCAGGAGATGAGATCGTGTGAGATGGGGGCCTTAATGACTACACGAGACTTCCGTTTTAAAAGTGTCCTTTAAGGGTTCGATGAGAGATACTAGTTGGGGGTCTCAGGAGCCAGACTAAGCAGACAGGGTCCTGGGGTATGTGATACTGTAACTATATTGGGGACTATGGGTGACATTGTGACTATACAGGGCTTTGAGGTCCATTATGATTGCTGACTACGCAGGGGCCTTCAAAAACATGAATACTCATTATTCAGATCCCTCTCTCCGCGCTAGAAGATCTTATGAGGCAGCGGTGCCCGAATGCAACACAGCCATTTCTGTGCAAGGTATCCTCGTGGAAGGAACTGTGCCGACTGTTTCAGCACGGGCCTTTGATGGTGTAGTAACCCAAAGGACCCAAAGGGTCCTATATACTGCGGAATACTTCCCTAAGTCATAATAGTAATTCCTAATCTGGAAGCCCCATATATTCTACTATATCGGTACAGAGGACCCTGTGGGTAAGTAAATACCCAAGTTCGCGAACGAACCTAGACATGAACCCGCCCTGACTGAAACATCTTAGTGGTGCTGTACATACCGGAACCCAGCTACCTACCATAGGGGCCTTGATAGTCATTATTTTTTTAAGCCCCTACTACTATGGTACCTGCCCAACGAAGAAGTCGAAACCTCGTATAGGGGCTGGGAAAAATTGGGATTTTTGAGGTCCGTATGTCCTAGTATGGTTCTAAGAGGACTTTAAGATTTCAATAGGGTTTTGGTAGAATTGGGATTTTGAGGTATGTCCTAGTATGACTCTACGGGACTTTTTCCATTTCAATGGGGGTTTGGGAGAATTGGGATTTTGAGGTATATCCGACAATGACCCTACGAGGACTGTAAGGGGATACATGTGCCATTAGCACTGGCTCCGATGCCTAGATTGGGTCCTGGCTCAGTCGGCAAAGCCTGATCCGCTTGAGCATTTCGAGCTCACGGAAGACGAGCTGCTTCAAAGGTACCCCTGAAAACGTAACGGTGGCGCTTCCGCTCTCGTTGTCCACGACTTCGTCGCTGCTGTGCAGTCGTGCGATCGACTGGAGCCCAGGTCTGCAGATATACGTAGATGCAGGAGCTGTCGAGTCGTGGCTTGTTCTTTGAGGTATCCTCTGGTATCTCACGACGCACAACTCGATCAATGAGCTTCTCAACATGAAGGGAGGTTCTCCACAGCTCAATC